GCGGGTCCTTTGTTTCTCACGTCTCTCAGCTATTTCTATCGATCTTTTTGCCACAGCAATCACCCGGAAAGGACAATAGCGCGTTCGTTCCCCACCATAGACACCTGCGGTCCAGAGTTTTGCAAATATCTCAGCAACGTTGTGGTTGTATTTCGCTTAGTAACCTGCCATGAAAATTATAGAAGGCAGAAAACAAAAACCTTAAACAGTGGATATGATCCTCACTGCTGAAACATACAGTAGTAGAAAGATACAAATGTATATAGAAAGAAATAGAAACTACTCTGGGAATAGTTGCTATATGGTCAATTTTGTTAAGAGCTTCTCTAAACAGAGTCCCTCTGATCAATAAAAGCTGCCGAATGGCAGTGGTAAACACCTGGAAACTCCTCAGTACACTTATTCCAAAAAGAATCGAATCGAGTGGCAATCAATGACATTCGTGAAGAATACCGAATAACCTCGACATAATTTGCATAATTTGCTCCAATGGTAGACACGGTGACTGCATGAGTTCGGGAAAAGTCTATCTGATCTCTTGTAAAGCGTGCGGAGACGAATACTTTGGCGAAACGGGTAGAGCACTCTGCGTACTTATAAAAGAACACCTAGTCGGCAAACGTAAACCAAGTACTCCATTAGGTACGCATAGCACGCAGAAACATAACGGAGAAGATTTTGAAGTAGGGCTAACGATCCTCGCGCAAGAATCGAGAACACAAGCGCGCAAAACTCTAGAGACATTCTGGATTAATTCCAAGAATCCGAAAATGAACCGCAGGGAGGTATGCCTCGTTATCACGCGTGATATTGGACAGTATATAAGCATGTTATTCTGATGGGAGGGGCACATTACGCTTCCATGTGAATTCTGTGCGGTCGGTCTTCACGCGACATACTCAGTGGAAGACTCATAGAAAGCGATGAGTGTGCAGAGCTATGCTAAATGTGAATGAAATCTTGGTTCAGCGTTTTCTCTGCTTGGTTATGGAGGTGTTCGGCCGAATGGATTGCTGTCAACTTGACCCTTCCAGGCTCTGAGGAAGGCGAAATCCGCCGAAACGTCAGCTTGTGCGTAAATAAAGAAATAAAATAGCACCTCGTGTTTGCTGAACAGAAGTAGAAAGATATTCTCAACATAGTCGAACCCACATGCGAATCCGAAGACCTTGACGCGAGAGATAAAACAAATTGAATGGAGGAAGTGCTGGATTCCGCACAATATTTGTGGTGTCGGATAAGGTAAAACAAATTGACCATATTTTATGTAAACACATGACAAAGTGACGTAAAGTCCTTTAGTTCAACTGAGAATCGCGGCCGTCTCGTTCAATGTATAAGTCACAAACATCGCTGAGCGAGAGCTTGCTTGTAGTTTCACAAGCAAAAGCGGTTTATTCACATCAAGATTACATAGGAATCAGTTTCCGAAAACATGAATCTCCGATTTGTATGATATCAATGCGCCGTTTTCTTGTTCACCAATGGCGAGGTTGTTATACAGCACACGTTTACTTCCTTACAAGAAGAGTACATACAACACAACAGTAGCTGACATTTCGGCAGTATCGCCTTCTTCAGAGCCTGGAAGGGTATACTGATATACAATCTACTAGGCCAAACGCTTCAATAACACATACAGAAAGATAAAAATCTCTATGGCAGTTACGTTATCAACAGCTTCTCGTAAAACCCATTTTTCTTAACGTGTCTTGCACTGAAGAAGAAAAGAACAACTGAATACAGTCGCATATGATTGATGACCGCACCACCCCACATCGAAAATCGAGGCGAAAGTACGGGGCGAGATCGCGTGTGACCTCGTGGCATTCCTGCAACTTATTGTAGAGTCCTTGGCATTTATCCAAAAAGCCACTTCGAGCGGTTCCTACTCTAGTTCTCTATTTGTTGCGGGGTTGGGCTCACAACTTTATATGAATACCAAGTCATTGTAGTTGCCACGAAGGGTTTTTGTGCTAGTCGCTAAGTCGAAAGCCTCAAACATGGGTTGTAAAACCGGCTTCTGCTCTTCTGTCCTCAAGATCTACTTTTATCGCCTGTCCGCATTTTTAGGACACAGTTATAGCAACTATCCCCGGAATAGTTACTATTTCTTTGTATTACATGTTTCTGTAGTAAGGATCAGATCTACTGTTTCTCAAGTTGCCTGGCAAATGTCGTAGTACGTAAATATTTTGATCCCATCCTTAGGAACTCCATATAGAGAATTACTCTATCAAAATTTTCTGTCTACCTAGCATACATTCAATGGGTCGATGGAGACGGCCTTTGCCACGACACCACTAGACACAGCATCACGTGGCCAGGTCACACCACCGGGCATGCTACTGGGGACGTCTCACTGCTTGGGGAATGGGCACCGCGATCTGGGCCTTGACCCTACCACCAACTACTCGCTTGAACGTAGCCACACCCGGTCTAGCACTGCCTTCTTTTTGTGCTTGACAAGATCTTTGGGAGTCTTACGTTCGACTTGATTGCCTTATTCTTGCGCCAGTATTCTTTTCATCGTTATTCCTGTTGTATTGGTTTTTGCCTTTACGTATATAAAGATTTAATCCCAAGTTTGAGTTTCGAAAGCTCTTGTCCTGTGTCAACTACGAAAAAACCCGCGTGGCGTCCTATCACGAAGTCGAGCATTGTGTTCAAAGCTAGTGGCTATTCGGTGTCGAGAACTAACTCGAAGGCCTATATTCCGCTAGCAACTGCGATAACAGTTACAGGGATTTTGATATATGAACAATGCAACCGAAGTTACAGTGTTATGACTTTTGCTTAATTCGTATTCCTTTTTATTACAGTGTATCGTCTGAAACACAACCACAAGGTTGTACACCACGTGAGATTAGTCGGAGGTTCGAAGCCCGACTGAGCCTCCGAGTTTTATTCATACCTCGGCATCCTTATGGTTGCATTTCACTTAATATCCTGCCACTAAAAAAGGATAGGTCGTAGATAAAAATTAAAACATTGTGACTGTAGGATAATATTAACCTCATTTCATACAACGTACATTGAAAGTACACCTGCCGGGACGGGTAAAATTGAAAATGTACAGCCGGATAAAGGAACACGGATCAAAAAGAACCGTGGTAAGCTTTGCACCACAGTGCTGAGAAAACCGTGCCATTAGCCATCAATATGGTTAGTAATTGAAGAGTTCTTTCAGGTAAAATACGTCGGACTCTCCAAAGAACAGTTGCCCTTCTAGTTGTCAATATCGCGCTCCAACGTTACTCAAATGCGCCGTCAAAGCAAGCGTTACATGCAACTTGAAAATCCGAGGTCATGGTTCCAGGATGCTTCCCACTTCCTGATGAAATTGTATTGTCAGTATTGCTGTTTCTGGATGGTGAGGATGTCAGGTCTTTCGGAAACACGTGTAGAAGGTTCCGGTAAGCCATAACATTCTACTTTGACCGTCCTGTACTTCTTTAATCAATCCGGATTTTTTGGTTTAGAAAACTTATCACCGTTAATAAACGCAAGTTGCGGAGTCCGGTGCTACAGTGGCATGAGGCCTATCTTGTATTTGGTCGTAGGATAAGTCTTAGTCGGTTTAACGACCCCTTACCGAAGCGTGCAGGGCGAGTAACTCCAGTACTGACCGGTCGTTGGGAGTTTACGGTGACTGGGTTACCCCACTTTTTTTATTATTCCAGGTAGATGATAAGAAATTTGTTCTCGTTCATAGGTATAGGAGTTTCTATTTGCAGGAAGATGAATTCCTGAGAGATTTTGCGAACCTTTTCTTCGTCATTTCTCCAGATGTTATGTACATAAAATGCAAAGACCTGGATGACCACATACCCGAAATTGTAAGGAGATTTGTGGTGAATATGTCGGGAAAAACTCTCGCTCTGGAAATGGATAAGTGTTCGGTACGTTGATTTGCATTGTGTAGTCGTTTTGCCATTTACTGTTATTTTCCAGATAGGAGAAAATGGTCTGCGTTGTTTTTTCAAGTACTTTTCGCCACTTTATCTCCACATCGCTGGCCGGTTCGACAGAAGCATAATTTCTGATCAGGTTTCTTCAAGATCTTCGATTGGTTTTGCCACTTGTGCTGTTCTGTATGGAGCTTTAGATACCGTGCAGGATTTCTGCCTCTTCCTTATTCTGTACGGTCCTGTAATCCTTCAATCAGTTATGAAAGGTTTTCCAGGTTCTTCCACTGTCGAACTTGTTTTCTCTCTTTATTGGAGTAAATCGTTCTGATTTGGAGACTCGCACAAGAATTTCTGGCACAACTGTGCGGAAAATTGTAAATAATTGGTTCCGGCGGTACTCCGACAATCAAAGGTACATTCTTCATGGCATGTTCACTTATTGTTTCGCGGTTCCCTTTCGAACCTATACACAGAGAACATGAGTCTTGTACTGTGGTTTTTCAACACTTCCAATTTCACTGCCTAAAAGTCGTACCTCTTCAATGCAGAACTCTGTGATCTTGGTGTATGTTTGAGGACTTATTATTTCAACAGCGTTTTCTGTCGTGTTCAGATAGGCTTTTTAGCGAAGCGACATCTGGTGGATCGCATCGGGAAATCCATCTTTTGTGGATTGTTTTGATTGTTTTCTCAATATGGATTTTTGAAATAAACGACAAACCACTGGGCCTTAATCAATATCTTAAGGAAGCACTCTATATCACTAAGCATCGTAGGTGTTATTGAACTCATGTTTGTCGTAGAGAATGACTTGTATGGGCTTATTGACGCATAAGGTTAATGTTTTTTGTTCTCCCGTACATGTCTGATACCCATTTACCGTCCTCCGGTGGTATAGGAGCTGCCGCTGGAGGGCGAACGAGGGGACGTGTACGTTGCCGGAAAACTCTTAACCACAACGGTCTAGAGATAGTTCTGTACTGCTTATCTGTTATTTTACAATTTCTGACGACTGGGTAAATGGTTGTGCTTAATGCGTTTCTTCCCTAGGCTGCTACTCTAGGAAGGATATCGTACAGTTAAACATTCTTGGAGCTACCGTCGAATTGAAGTATGCGAGTTTGTAGGTGTATGAGCACACTGTATTAGAGTCATTCTGGAGTATTAGTGGTCGTAGTGGTAAAAGATACAACTATAAATTTCTGATTGTTCACTATCGAAAGTATCATTCAAGCTGTACAGAAGCCTCAAGTTGTTGTTTCAGTGGCTACTCTTCTGAAAATTATGAGTCGAGATTATTTTGCATCGAACTTCCCGACTGTGATTTAGATTACAACGAATTCTTCGCTTTCTACAGGGTTTGTTTATTTGCATCATTGGTTTACTTCCCTCTAAAACTATTTGTTTCAGGAATTGACTCTTCTTCCACATGGGAATGAAGAACAAATACGAATTTATAACCTCCCTAAAACATTAATCCATTCGATTGCCAAGTGAATAACAATTCTGCCTTTTTTTCTTGTTTTTTCATTTTCTTTATCTTCTTCGACACTCCCAACCTGTGTACAAGTGATCTGTTTGCTTGCATTATGTTAATATTAGGACGAGTTAGTTTTCAGGAATGTGTCAACCTTCGACGCTATTGGGCCAACATTGTGGGTTCAACAAGGTTTATGCAATAACGGTGACGTGCAACGGTGCTTTAGATTGTTATGTGACTGCCATCCGTATGTTCTTGTTAATGTCTTTTTTGATTTTGCTCAGCATTAAACTATATAGCTTCTCCGCACTTGCAAAACATTTTTAAAAACTTTGAAATTTGTGTTTATAGCGCGCTGTTATCGACCCGTATTCACTTCGGCTTTAGGGGTTTGCCAAGGGATCCTTCCCAACTATGTGATGCAATCGAACTACAGTTGTCAGTCTTGTGAGTTACTGAGATTGTCTTTATTCGTAAACCACTCTTATTCTTTTCAGATGTGAGATTTTTCGGTACGCCTTTACTCGGGTATCTGCATAATTAATTATTACCGCAATTGAACTCCATAGAAAATTTGCAGAGTTCATGACCGTGAGGAGCTGTCACAGCCTAAGCAACTTCTTTCTCTTTTTATCGCATTAAGCGCAGGCCAGATGTCTTTAGGAATGCGTATTCCTGAACTTGTATTGGTAGATGCACACAAGCGGACGAGGAGGAAAAGAAATCTACGAACTTGAATTGGGCCATTTCACTTATGCTTCCTTGAGAAACTGTTCCTTATAGGCCTAATACCATTCAAAAATGTTGTACGCTTCCTCTGAGTACAACTTTTTGCAAAGAAAAGATTCTCTCAGGTGGTATCGCTAATATGAAGCGTAGCTCCTTAATTCTACTTTATGCTGAGTAAACTACTGTTTACAATTTAACATCTCAAACTTCTTCATTTCTTTGTCTTTGTTTCCTTTTTTCTTTCCTTCTTTCTTCAAATAACATTGTGGTTTATTCCAATATCTAGATGAAGCAGCAATGAAATCTTTATCTCCATTGTGTTTTCATGTGTAAATGTGAATTCGCCAATTTGTGTCCGGAAACTAACCAATGTGGTCGAGTGTAGGTTTTCTTCAGTTCTAGACGTAACCACTTCTCATGGTTAGTCTCTTCGAGTTTTTTTGTTCCTAACTACCTTGACGTCCATTTACACAACTATGTGGGACTAGCAGCTCTTCTTCGTGAAAATCGGCATGCGTGCTAGCCTATGATCACATTACAACGAGGAATTCCGTCAGAACAGATCACCTTTGTTTTTTCTCTTAATTTTCTAAAGAACTTTTCTTAGGGCATTAGCTTAGGTTGGGATTGAATTATGGTCTTCAAAAGTTGGTTATTAGCTAGTTTTGGTTATTCGTAGATCATTCCGGTTTTTTAATCTTCTATAGCAGTGTTCTCTCTATTGCATCAGCAGTATCACTTGGGGTCCCGTTAATCGTTGAATCACTCGAGTGGGAGCCAGCCTAGCAAAACTTCCATCTTTTTCACTCGAATGCAAAGTAGTCCAGTGAGTTCTGCTCGCCTGGGAATTGTTGACCGTCCTATCATTCAACGACAAGCGTTACAAACACGAAAAAATGCTCAAGCTACAACTCAGACTACATGCAAAAAAGTTCGTGGGTGGTGCTTGGGAGAAAATGAATCCAATGGAAGAAGTTCTAGGCAAGACGACAGTGCGACATATGTATTAGGCTGTTCAGAAATAAACGATCGTTTGTAATTATATTATTTAAAATGTCATAACTTGGTTCCAACAAGACTTTACCAGTCAAAATAAAAAAAACTATTTGAATCTACACATTTTTGCGAAAGAGACACAAGTTTACTTATTCCAGTTGAATATATTCTGGAGCTTCGGAAGCGATGAATTCGTTGAAGGCATTTTTTGGTTGGTGAAACATTTCTACCGCAGGGAGTTGTCAAGGTGCTTGAGGAAGTTGTAGTCGTTAGGCGAGAGTTCTGTGAATATGGCAAATGAGGCAAAGTTTCGTAGCCCAACTTGTTCAACTTCTACAGCGCTGGTTCGTCAACGTGAGGTCGAGCGTTGTCGTGGAGAAGGACTGGACTTTTTCTGTTGACTAGTGCCTGTCGTTGTTGTTGGAGTCCATTTGCTGGCAATACTTCTTTGCCATAATCGTTCCGCCCGGATTCGAAAATCTGTGATGAATCAGCCCGGCTGTAGGTCAGCAAACAGTCAACCTTTTTGGTGCAATTTCGGCTTTGGGAGGAGCTGTGGAGCCTGATCGCAATCCATACATTGAGCTGAACGGCGCCGGTTGTCGTACAGAATTAGCTTCTCGTCCCACGTCACAATTCGATGAAGAAAGGGTCATTTTTTCTAGGCAGAGTAAAAACACGCAACACCACGGAGCGGCGATTTTTTAATTATCGTTTAGTTCACGCGACACCCTCTTGTCGAGTGTTCTGTCTTTCCTATGCGAACAAGGTGCAATGAATATTTTATTGGTAACGAATACATTAAAACTATTTTGTTTATTTATTTTATTTTACTAAATATCTTAAAACGCTCATTTTTTTTTAAATAGCCTGGTAATCTCAGGTCAGTGCTGAATAATAAATAAAGTGCGTGCAAAGACTATAACATCACATTATCTACACTTCGTATTAGTACTTAATAACTGAGCATGAGATGGAAGTCTCGAAGAGCAAATGTGTATTTTCACCGTGAAAATGTAAGCGTTTACTACATTGTTAGACTCTGTGCTCGCAATAAAACCGACTGCCGGATGATGGATTGTCCGAAGAAAGAAAAGCCATTATCAACGGACAACCAGTATTATCAGCAACCCTATATAAAAGAGCGCTGCCGAGTGAGAATACTTTACCCGAGCGGAGCAGAAATGCATTGACTTGTTGCGATCACGAAACCCACGTGGGAAGAGCGAGGAACTGTGGACAGTTGACCCGGATCGATCCTGCTCCGAAGAAGACGATGACGCCGAGACGTTCTACGAAGTTTTTTTTTTGCCAACCTCGTGTTAGCTTGTCAATGAAAAAACATGTAAGCGTTTTTGTTCGAAACATTAGCAAACCACTCCTTCTGAAAAGAAAGTCGTAGCGCAAGAATGAAGAATACTGGTTAAATTTGAAAGCGCTCAATAACTTCTTAGAAAACTTAATACTCTCTTTAAAGAAGTAGTTCTTTGTAACGAAAGAGTGTGATAAGATGAAGTTTTCATCCGATTGTCTGATCCTCCATCATCTTAGACGTATAGGATGTTCTTCATCTGTTGCACAGTAGCGCGTTGGGGAGGCGAATCTAAGAGGTGTGAGCGAAGCTTCTCAGAGAGTTCCGAAGGCCAGACCATGTTGCTTTTCTCGAACATTCCAGAACGTACAGAAAGAAAGCTATCGTCCGACCAAACGCTGGTCAATTACATCAGTGAACCGTTTGTTTGTGCAAAATGACAAAGCTGATACTCATGAGAAACAATTCCCTGTCTAATGTATCATTAAGAAGACGAGCACAGGTTTTCCAGCCTTTCCTATCTGGACCAAAAGTCAATGATCTATTATCGAGGAGCAGAAAGAGAAAACAAACGAATAGGAAAGGTCAATTGTCTAGAAAGTGATATTCTACTCCTTTCTCAAACATTGTAATAATAAGGTAACGTGAACTCTGCTGTTTCAATTCCTGCAACCGACTTTTGCTTTTCCAATCATAAACTGTGTTTCAAGGAATGAAAGAGTGTGATGTCGCTAAGTGATTGGTGAACCCACATAAGCTACGAAGATGAAATCACGTAACGCACTTATTTCCCACCACCTACTTCAGAATCACCTATTTAACGTTCCACAACAATTACAGCGGCGGTACCATAACATCGTCGTGGGCCAACCACCAATCCTTTCTTTCCGAGTAACTATTAAAATGTTAACACTTTCCAGTAAACGTGTCTAAAATATATGTTCTAACCAAAATGCTGTGTGTACCATGTCATGGTTTTGGCAAATACATTATTTGAACAATGCGGTGTAAACGTCGTTGCAAAATTCAATGAGAAGTAATGTAATGCCTCATCTACGTGGAATATTGACCTGTTGGTGAAATGAGTTATACAGCGCCTTTAAAAGCCCATGCTCACTATAAATTTGGCTGGTCGGCAAACGACAAATCGAAAAAAAGACAAACAAGAAAATCCATTGTGCTAGAAGCTTGGAAGGTTTTTGAGACAAAAGCACTAAGGTGCTCTAGCCATGTTATGCCATGGTAAGTTTTCGATGAGCAGCACCCAGAATAAACTTTATATTTCTTCCTTAAACTTGACATCTGTTGCGTTAAAGTACGCTTGTTTGCAGGAATCTTCTGCCTAAAAAGTGCCGTATACCAGTGAATGGTGAACAAACACGACAAACCGTCATAAAGGGCGGAGCCTTATTATTCAAACATTGGTTGCATGGCAGATGGACAAATGTTCGATGGTGTTCAATCGCATAAAAAAGATAACGAATTGCGGAAACGATATTAGCGCCACTATTAGCGGAGCTATTTTTCGTCAATCTTCTGTTTTGTTACTATTTTTATACAAATATCTACAAGCCAGCAAAATTTGAGAGCAGCTAAACATTTTCGAATGAAAGTTGCTGACTCTCGAAAACTCACACCAGAAAACCTTTGCGTGGAAAAGGGGTACGGGATAATTTAATGGTGGCTCAAAAAGCTGGCATCGTTGGCTATTTTTTCTATATTACTCATTCACCACGTATTTAGTGAAATTTATGAATTAAATGATTTATGATGATTTATTATATTGATTATGATTATGATTGATTATATTGATTAATTTATGATTTAGTGAATTTAGTGAAAACAACCAGATATGAACATCACTCGGTTACTAGCTATTGTTCCGATAGTAACGCACTATTGCCAAACCGCTCAACTGTTTAAGGAGTAAAAAATGGAGGTTAATTCAAGGTTGAACGTGCTTCCAGTCATATCGTGTTCTCCTGGTTTTTGTTCTCGTAATTATTTGATTCACTAGAGGGTTGCATCTGATTCGAGCAAGTACGACCCAATTTCAAGCAGATTGGATTACAATGCCAATTATGCTCGAGGAAGTGGACCAAGTGTCTTCCGAAACGACATCATCGTGACGGAGTACTTTAATACTTAATAAATTCTTCTAGTACGGCTCTTCCAAAACTTCTTAATTGATTGCATTTAGAAGAAAAGCCAAGAAGGTCCTCGACGGGAAAATTGGACGAGCTCGTACAAAAAGACAGGTGTTGAAAGACGATGGTGAAAGTAATTCGACATGGGCGGATGGGTTCTTTTATACCTTCAACACATTAGGTTGGATTTAGAAAGCTGGAAAGACGGATTTTCCTTCCCTTAGTCTCGTAATAAAAAAAGAGAGCAACGAATGGTAACAACTTATTTGTTTGTTTAGTTACTTAATGCACACCTTCACATGTTTTGCACGGATCCCAAACTTACACTGTGTTCGTTTTCTTCGCACTGGTCGTCAACGAAATTTTTCGAACTTTTCACTAGTGGGTGCTGCTGTTGTTTCAGTATTGTCGTCTTTCTTATGAATGTCGTTGATTGCGAGTGATGGTACAGTCGATTCTCTCTAGAGCTCTGAGATAGCTGGGCTATAGCTCTACCACTTGGAACACAAAACAAGAGTAAGAATAAATGTAATTAAAAAAATTAGCCATTATG